CGGCAGGGCCGCGTCAGGGGAGGCGGGGGAGCCGCGTCAGGGGAGGCGGCGGTGCCGCGTCAGGGGAGGCGGGGGAGCCGCGTCAGGGGAGGCGGCAGGGCCGCGTCAGGGGAGGCGGCGGGGCCGCGTCAGACAAGCGGCGGGGCCGCGTCAGGAGAGGCGGCTGAGCCGCGTCAGGGGAGGCGGCGAGGCCGCGTCAGGGGAGGCGGCGGAGCCGCGTCAGGGTAGGCGGCGAGGCCGCGTCAAACAGGCGGCGGGGCCGCGATCAGGAGAGGTGGCGGGGCCGCGTCTGAGGGACAGCGGGGCCGCAAGGGAAAAGGCGACCCGAGGGGGTCGCTAAAAAAAAAGGCGCGCCTCGGGGCGCGCTTCGGTGGGCCCTAAAAAAAACGGTCCTAAGGTAGGACCCGCTCTATACCATGTGAAGTAAAGAAAACAGGAATGAAATGACTAAGGAAAGATTGGGTACAAATACAACCCTAGAAAACCTGTACCCCATATGTGCTACCCCACTATAGCCTACAGCAACTATGTCATATAAATCTGACAAATTATGCATCTTTTTCCCATTGTTCCATATTTGTCTTTCTTGTTTCTTTCTGTTGTTGATGCTTTCCTAACAGGCCTTGTTGTTTTTTTCAGGAAGTGAAGGTTAATCTGGATGGTGCAAAGATACAGATTGTTCTGTGTAGGGTTATATGTATATTGCTAAGGTATAATTTTGCTCCTATGTTTTTTTTCTAAACAGTTGATGCATTGAGCGTTTTTAGTTTGTGTGAATGTGTGTGATCATGTGTATGCGTTTGTATGTGTCTATGTGCGTGTGTGTATTCGTTGTGTTGTGTGCGCATGTGCTTTCATTCATGATTCCATTGCATTAATAACACATGTCTGTGTGTTTTAAAAAAATGGATCAAACTATCATTTCCGAGAAGGTTCTTTGTGCACTCAGTGAGTGTGTCCATTCGAAGTGGATTTGATGGAATTGACCTTTTTTTTAGATCGCACAGATTGTGTCGTTTCATGTGACAGTTTGTTGATTCAGGAACTATGCTATTGAGCCCCCCCCCATGCTAGGCAGGGGATGCGGTAGCATAGGGTCTGGATCAATTAACTGTGACGCATTTTCATCATGTTGTGAATTCATTTCATTACCACTGTCGTATATGCAGCATAATTATGCATTCTTCATTCAATATTTAACTCATCATATCATCATTATGCTTCATCTATGCATAACATCATCCGGCATATGCATTACAGAATTAACCGTCACCTGTGTCATAGTACACATCATTTCGGCAAAGGCGAACCAAGAAATGAGAAGGAATTTGGTACGGTACGTGCTAAGTACATGGCAGTCGAGTCACTTGGTTACCGACACTACGGTAGATTTTTTTCATCCTTATTTTTTCAATGCACATAGGATGAAAAACAAGAGGCGATGAAATTGTCTTAAGGTTGCGAAGCTGTTTTGCAAAAACACATATTTTATTTAGTTTAGTACTTATACATGACTTGATGCTTGTAACTTAAATGTTGTTTGTTCTGTATGGGTTTGTAAATTTGTTGAACGGAGTAATGAACTCTACACCTTCCGATTATGGGACAACCTACAAACGATTACGACAGACGTGCTATTTACAGATGATGTAATAATTGTTATATTCAATTCAACTAATGAAGTTTGTAGGTTCAAAACTGACTCTCACGCGTTACGACCCTACAACCTCCCGATTGCTCATCCATGTTCTACCATTTGCACCAAGGCATCTGCAATGCGCAAATGTTGACTATTATTCAACAAAATAACTTGCGACGAGATTGAACCAGCCCTAGGGTTTCTACTTTCTCTTTTCTTCTCTCACGTCCCCTCGCTGGTGGAGCTTGGTTCACACCCGCCCCCCAGTCACGATCTAGTGCCACGATAAGGTGAGAAACGTTCTAAGCTATCAACTAGGACTAACTTAGATGATTATAAGCTAGACTAGGACTAACGTAAGAAATAAGCGCGACGAAATTGACGCTACTTTAGGGTTTGAATGCTTTTTTTCTCCTCCCTCCTTTTCCTCTCGCTGCTGGAGCTTCGCCCAACGTACACCCTCTAGTCACGCTGCTCCTACCTACCACCAACATGTCAGAACCCTGGGCTATTTAGTAGAAGTAAGTTAGTTGTTAAAAGCTGGACTAACCGTAATCTCATATCCTAGTCTTAATCGCGTGTCCTTAGGTTCTGAGCTCTTAGGTTAGGTTTCAGCATTTCCTGTAATCTTTAGGCTAAACTAAGCTGAGCATGTGATTGTCTTTTAGTTGTCAACGACCCATGATATAGTTAGTTAGATCTTGCTGTTATGGCGTGTTTAGAAGCCTAAGCACGTCATATGTGCTGGCGTGCACGTCATTTAATCACGTGTGCTGTGTTTGTCTCTTTTCGCTTCCTTAATCGTGTTGTTCACTCTGTTTCTTATGCTTGTACGGTCTTCTCACCGTTCATTCTGTTTCGTTTATTGGTTTTCTGTTTTCGTTCATGTTCAAAAGTTGTTGCTTTTTAACGCTTTAAAAGGCTCAACAATTTCATATGTTATTGGGTTAGATTTGAGCTCGATTCATTCCTGTAATTATTGGTGTTGTAACAATTGTACGACAATAATAAAATATTTTATGTGTGTCCCTTTTTCTCCCATTATGCCTTGTTATTTCCCATTTGCTTTCCCTCCCTTAACCCAGACAGTCGAGCTCAACATGAGAAGTAGACTGATATTGCTTGTGACTTATGGTATAGGAAACATGATGTCTTTGTGATTTAGGTTTTTATTTCATTTGCGGTTAATATGCTTTGTCAGTTCGGCTTCGTGCGTGCGCGTATGTCTGAAGGTGTATGATCATGTGTGTGCGTTGTGTTGTGTGCGTACCGTATGTGCTTTCATTCATGTTTCCATTGCATTAATAACACATGTATGTGGGTTTTAAAAATTGGGATCAAACTATCATTTTCGAGACGGTTCTTTGCGCACTCAGTGAGTGTGTCCATTTGAACTGGATTTGATAGAATTGACCCTTTTTTTAGAGCACACAGATTGTGTTGTTTCATGTGGCAGTTGGATGATTCAGGAACTATGCTATTGAGCTCCCCCCCATGCTAGGCAGGGGATGCGGTAGCAGAGAGTCTGGGTCAATTAACTGTTACACATTGTCAGAATCCCATGTCAGTAGAGCTACACTGTGAGATCCCCGATCGATCCTAGGGGGGGTTACAGGCGCGTTTGCCTGGGGGGTTATGGGCGCACTGACCCGCTACTGAAACAAGCCTTTCAATGGGATGTCAGAATCCCAACCAGTAGACCATTGGGATAAAAGGGCTTGTTTCAGTAGCGGGTCAGTGCGCCCATAACCCCCCAGGCAAACGCACCTGTAACCCCCCTAGGATCGATCGGGGATCTCACAGTGTAGCTCTACTGACACGCATTTCCATCATGCTACCCTATGCATTCATGCTATCATAGTAGCACATGCATTGTAATTATGCATTTTGCATTTACTTCATCTACGCATAACATCGTCCGGCATATGCATCACGGAATAAACAGTTACGCATTCACAGTACATCATTTTGGCAACTCATGAAATATAGGTTCAGTCAAAGCAAACTAAGAAATGAGAAGGATGTCAGAATGTTATTCTCTAGCCTGTAGTGGGGTGCTCTATAGCGAGTACAACCCATCTAGGGTTTGCTATATGTATCCTCATTGCTGCTAGTGAAACCCCCTATTCTTCATTCTCGTTTCTCGACAGAGGAATGTGGTTCGGCACGTGGTAAATGGACTTTGCAAATACATAGTAGTCAGCAGGCCCTACGAAGTCAGCCTTTTTTCTCTGATTTGCACAAAAAACTCTGATATTTCAGATTTTTTTTCCAGGGTACTCTGTTAAAATCAGACTTTTTTGGCCCCAAACTCTGTAATTTTCAGACTTTTTTTAAGGCTAACTCTGAGAGTTCAGATTTTTCTGAGAGAGTACTCCGATCATTCAGAGTACAAACGCGTCCTTGACACAACAGATTCACAATGTCAACGCAAAATCGCCTTGACACAGCAAATCAGAGCCTTACAGCACAAGATTTTCGCCCAATCATAGCAAAATCGCCCTGACACAACAGATTTGCGCTGTCAGAGCACAACAATTTTCGACCAATCACAGAAAACTTGCCCTGACATTGCAGATTCGCTCTTTCGCACCACAAGATTCGCCCTGACACATATATTCGCCCTGTCAGAGCATGTTTTATCGGAAATCCCCTTAGTGTTGTGTGTTTCGGTAGCAGATGAATGAAACATTGATTACATTCCGATGAAACATTGAATACATTGTTTTTGAACTATCAGACTTTTTTTAAGGACACTAAGAAATTTCAGCCTTTTTTTTATACCAACTCTGAGATTTTCAGACTAAAATTTTGTACTAGTCTGACGAATCAGACAGGCCAAAAACGAATCTGAGGGCCTGGTAGTCAGTCACTTCACTTAGCTACCGTTCACTAGATTTTTTTCATCCTTTATTGAGTAAAGAGGATGAAAAAAAAAATGTTCATAACGATCGTAATAGGTTGCTTCGCAACCCAAAAAATTGTACGTAACAATTGCAATAGGTTGCTTCGCAACCCAAAAAAATAGTAGCACCGTATTCTCCCGGACAAAACACCCCCTCATGTTAGAGCACCCCCGGGTAGCTTGTGCGGGGTGGGTGCTATGGGCGACCTCATTTTCACTATACCCCGCTTTTTGGCTGATTCTCTATAAGACCCGGGGAGGGGGGGGGGGTGCTATAGTCGGGAAAAACGATAACTTCATTCACATTTTATACAGGTGAAATTACAGCAACTACGGAAGTCATGCGCCAGCACCTAGACATTAACAATGTCACCTAGACTGCATCTCCATAGCCACATGGTCACCACACACTAGACATCAACAAGTTTAACAACAAAGAGCTCTACTTAGTGCACTTCACTCAGAATCGTACCCAGCATGCCACTCGTCACATTGTTCCCTGTCATAGCGGCCAGGGCGCCACCACTCGTCATCGCTGGGCTCTTCTGCCTCCCCGCCTTCTTCAAGCACGACCCCTTCCTCCTCTGCCGCCGCCGCCTCCGCATCCTCCTCGGTGGCGTCCTCCTCATGTGCCGCCGCCTGCAGCTCCTCGGCCGGCATGGGGACTTCGGCGTAGAAGGGGTTGATGACCGTTTCGTCGTCAACCAGGTCGTTGACATCGTCAAGGACCTCCACCTCACTCTTGTCCCGCATATGGGCAAGAATGAGCTGGTCCTCGCTGTCATCGATGGGGGTGGAGATCCCGCACGTCACGAACGCCTTCTTCACGAGCTCCTCTGGGGTTGCTTCCCAGGACTCATCGATCCAGCGGAGCACCAGCTCCGCTGGCGGCTTCTTGAGATTGCTTGAGGGACAGTGAAGGCAAGTCATGGACGAAGGTGAGCATACAGAGCGCACGCTGACACCAATTGAACGGATTGCAAATGGGACATAGCGCTGCAACTCACCGGCCTTGGTGGTGAGGTTGATGCCCTCTTCTTCAAACCAGAGACTGTAGCGGTGACGCACCCCGCACTTGAACGCGCGGTTCACCGACACATCTAGAGGCTGCACCAGCGATGTGCAGCCCCCTGGGATGACAGCGCGAGACAGCCGAAACATCCGCATGGTCTGCCCGACCGCCTCGATCAAATGGCCGCGGTAGGAGTCGAGCACAACCAAGCCCTCCCGGCGGCGGCCGGTTGTCTCACGCAGGGGCTTCACAAACGGCACCATCACCTGCGTGATCCAATCTTGCACGAGGGCTTCGTCCATCCACCCTTTCTCATGTGCATGGACCAACACACTTGCCAAACAACACAAGCGCGTCAGTTTCGGTTGCTTTGCTACACAGGCGAGTGCACGGACAAATCATAATCATGTGTTGCTTACCGGCAGGGATGGCCACCTTTGGGATGGTCTTGCGCTTGAAAACCACGAACGGCGGAAGCTTGAGCCCGCTCGCTGTTACTGCCACCATGACAGTGACACGCTCCTTCTCATAGCCCGCACTCCGTACGTGGACCGTGTGCGTTCCCTTCATCTCGAGCGTGCGCTCCGCCGGCATCTCCAGGAACAGCGGCGTCTGGTCCGCGTTCACGATGAGATCGAGCGGGTAGTCATGGAGAGAGCGCATCTGGCGCACGAACTCCCATAACGACTCCACCTTGGCCTTGCAATCTACGTGCAGAGCAACAAGAAACACGAGGGAAACATTAGAGAAACATTAGAGAACAATTGCCTCGAGAAACAATAGAGAACAACAACATCACTTACCTGCAGCCAGCTTCTGTCCCATCTTCGTCTTCACCCGCCTCGCCAAATGTCAGCGCGCGCGGAAACGAGTCGCCCACCGGAACGAAGCGCGCCAGTTGACCCCGGGCATCCTGTGCTTCATGTACTTGGCGCTCCACTTCTGGAGCATGCTGACAGTGACGGCAAGGCCCTTCGCCCGGTGCTTTAAGAAGTGGCGGTAGACCGCCCGTTCCATGAACGGGTACTTGGACTTGCGCCCGTGCCCCATGAGACGACGGCGGCAGCTCGAAGCGACCTCCAGCCGCTCCTTCATCTTCTTCCATTCGCGGATCTGGCAGGGCTGCACCTTCGCGAGTTTCGCCAGGGCGCGATTGGAGAGGTCGGGCTGACTGTCCTGCATCTTCAACCAGTGGAGTTTCTCCTTCGCGGTGATGGCATTCCGCTGGCGTTTCGTCATGTGGTGGCGAAGGCTTGGCGGGGCAGCATCGGCGTTGCGCTTGATCTGTCCCTGCGGGCGGTTACGCTCAAGAAAGGTGGGGACAGCCACACGAGGAAGAGGGGGGCGAGGAAGGTCAGAGCTAGTGCTCGGTTCATCCCGAGCTGAAGCACTGCCGGAAGCATCCGGCTGGGGCAAGATAGGGCGAGGAGACGTCCTTGCGCGTGCAACAGCGCCGCTCTGAACGGTAAAATGGCGATGTCGCCTTTCAACGGTACTGCTAGAGTCTGGAGATGACGCCATGCTAGACAACTACAGGGGGGATGAAGTCACTCGCCATGGCGGACGAGATTTTAAACTTGAAAAATCAAGCACCATAAGGAGTCGCTCTCACAGCCAGCCGAGCTCTTGTCAAAGACGTGCACTGGAGCCGCTTGACAGAAGGGAAGGTGAGGGCCATGTGAGGAGGCATTGACGTGACCAAATGGATGGCAAGAAGTCACAGGTACAGTGACCTCTCAGCACCGTGCGTGACTCGGGCCATGTACAGCATTATATTGCGCATGAACCCAAGCTACACAATGTTGGCATTGCCGTCATCGAAGCTGCCTCAATTGGCCCATTGGAATTTGCCATGTGGCAGATTCCAGTGGGGGGTGATGTTATCATCGACGACTCGGTTTTGCGCCCCCGTTCAACAAAGTAAGAGTGACGACAGAATACTATTTTTGTTTCCTTTTATTTCTGCTTAGAAAAAATGTTCAATATAATAAGACCCGGGTATTATGTAGCTTTTTACTATGAGAAGACACCCCCCTTTTTACCCTGTATTTTTAAATCTACCCTAGGGTGTTACGTATGTCCGAGAGAATACGGCAAGTGTTTGTTAGCAACAGTAAGCAACTGGCATTGCAACATGGAGTCACATGAACAAGGCATGTATATTACTAACTACACCTGTGCACAATACAATACATTTACAATGGATACCAAGTTACCAACCACTTGAGAAGCTATTGCAAGTCCATGGCAGCTACAGCCTCCATGTGCATATCCAGGGTCGCTGGTTTCTGCCCAGCGAAGTACAGTCGCTCCCGCACCTCCACGCCACACAATGGTCCGAAATCCGCTGCTGGAGCTGCTGCTGAGCCTGGTTGCTGCGGCTGCCTAGGGAATGCCACTGCTGGTGCTGGTGCTGGTGCTGGTGCTGGTGCTGCAGCTGCTGCTGCGGCTGCTGTTGCTGGAGTGTGCGATGGCAGCATAGCATCATGAGTCAACCCGGATCCTTTCACCATGGCATCTTTCAGTAGCTCCACAAACCGCTGCTTCTCATTGCCGATCCAGGGCCTCCGCCGGTCCTCCCACTGCCGCGGCGTGCCGTGAACCCGCACCATTACTGCCTTGCTGCACGTCGCACATGCCGCTGACGGATCTGCAGCAGAAACAGCAGCCGCAGAAGAAGCCATACCAGGGGAACTTCTGGACGCAGCAGCAGCAGCAGCATCGCCGCCAGTAGCAGCACCAGCTGCACTGGCACCAGTAGCAGCATCACGACCACCAGCGGCAGTAGCAGCAGCAGCGGCGGCGGCGGCGGGAACCTCAGTCACCTGCAACACCTGCTTGTTCTTCCAGAGATACGAGCCGTGCTGGCAAAGCGCGGGCCGGAGCTGGCAGGCGTGCACAAAGGCGGAGAGAGTGCGAGGATCAGTGGGATACGCCCCTCGGCAGTTCAACCCCACATCTACATATTCCCATGCTGCTGCCTGCTGTAGGAAGGCCATGGGTGAACCTGGCAGGGAGAATGGCGGTGGGGAATCCGCTGCTGCTGCTGCCGCTGCTGGCGCTGCTGCTGCTGCTGCTGCTGCTGCTGCTGCAGGTGCCTGTGCTGCTGCTATCGACGCAGGCACAGCGAGAGCAGGAGGTGGGATTTTTGACAGCGAATCAATCTTGCCCAATCGATCTTCGGTCTTCCCCAGTCGCTCACTGTATGGCACCTGTGCTGTGAGCATCTGCCCTACCTCTGCTGCCTCTGCCAGCAGCTGGTTCAGCACCACACCACCCTTGCTGAACCCAAACAGGTGCACGGGATGACACACACCACTGTTACCACTACCACCATCACAACCACCACCGCCACCGCTACCGCTGCCACTGTCACTGTCGCCGCTCGCAGAACTGTTCCTCTTGCTGTCTTCTTTCCCATCGCAACAATCCGCTACCTCTTGCCCCTCCGTCGTCTCACCACCCATCTGTCTCTCCACGTCCCTCGCCACCTGCTGCAGCAGCGCCAGAAGCCTATGGGCCGTTGGCAGGCCCAGAGGTTTGTATCCCATTGGCTCCCCTGATCTAGTCAGCACTGCAGGGAACGAGGAGGAGGAGGAGAAGAAGGAGGGGCTTCTAGGGGAGGAAGGGGAGGAGGATGGAGAGTAAGCTGCTGGGGAGGAGGGCGAGGAGGAGGAGGAGGTGGAGCGAAGGAAGGAGGCGTGGGCGGGTGACGTGGAGGAAGGAGAGGAGGGGAAGGAGGAAGGGGAGGTGTGGGAAGGGGTTGTGGGAGGTCCAAAGAGGTTCTCGTAGCAGGCGAATGGTCCCTCGTACCGTGATGGATAGACCACCCAGATGTTAAAGCACTGCTCTTGCTCTCCCTGCTCCTGTTCTCGCTCCTGCTGAACCTGCTGCTCCAGCTGCTTCTCCTTCTCCTGCTGCTGCTCCTGCTCCTGCCTTCCCACCTCCTGCTGTGCTGTGCCGTCCTGCAAAACCGGTGGCCCATCCGCAGCACCACCCGCCTGCTCCTCTTTCCTCCCCTTTGCGCTTATTCTACGCAGTTTCCCCTCCACCAGCGCAGCTATCACCTCAGGCCGCGACAGATGGTCCACGCGCGCGCTGCCACTGCCCTCCACGTTGTCCCCAGGGAAGAAGATCGCCGTGGCACATGGCTGGGTGCGGTTGGGTGGGGATGAGTTGGGATGGGTGCAGATGGGTAACAATGGTGCAAAAAAAAATCTGTATTGACTTAAAAGACAGATGGTCCACGCGCGCGCTGCCACTGCCCTCCGCGTTGTCCCCGGGAACGAAGATAGCCGTGGCACGTGGCTGGGTGCGGATGGGTGCGGATGGGTGCGGATGGGTACGGATGGATACAACGGTGCAAAGGGGGCAACGATAGGTACGGAGCGAGGATGGGAGCAATGAGTGCCTGAGTGAAAGAAGGAAGCAGTTGAACATTCTTACGAGACCGTACCTTCAAGGGAGGCTTGCACAAGGAGTGGTACACGGAGGAGCAGCACCCCTGTGCGTGTAGTATCACAATCATTTGTCTCTCACAGCTGAAAAACTTCACACACGTCCACGTCCGTGGTACCTTCAAGGGAGGCTTGCACAAGGAGTAGTACACGGATCCGGCTCGGCCGTTCTCGCCTCGGTCCAAGCGGCTCGCGTTATCGCGTCCGCTCGTCGTTTCCTTCACCGCAAGTCCAACCCCATCCGCGAACCACGTGCCCTGAGTCTTCAGATTCGCTATCGCCGCCGGGAGCGAGTACTCGTCAGTGACGGAGTTTCCTTTGTTTCCTCTCATGAAAGATTCTCGTGCTGCAGAAGCCACTTTGGTGTGAGCTTGACCTCCATGGCTCAGGAACGCCATTCCAGCTCCTGAGACAACTGCTCTACTGGAAGTCCCGTTATAAGGCAGTCGCGAGAATTTTTTAAGAGCTGGTACGAATCGAATTGGAAATGGGGATTTTGAGGCGGTGAACGACGGAAGCGGCGCGAAAATGTGGAGCTTCAGCAGTCGTGTACTGTGCAGTGACATTCATACACAATACGGCAGGGACGCACAAACTGTGTCCAGAGTTCAGGACTCCATAAGGGTAAAATGAGCGAATATTCTTCCGACTGGAAAAGGAAACCTTGCGGGCTAAGCGGTATAGAATGCCGAATGAGAAGCTGCTATGGCTGGATGGAATCGGGAATTCTGGAGTACGAAGGGATATTCGAATATGGATTCTACCAGGGAGATTTGGCCTCGTTATGTCCTCTTTACTGAGAGCCTCGGTAATGTCCTCTCTACTGATAGCCTCAGCATGGGAGAAATTGATAACGCTCTGGAATTCGAGTTTACTTTGTCTCGGCACAGTCAATCTAGGCACAGATGCAATCTGGCCCGTTGAGTTTGTCTCTAGAACCTCCGTCACAGACCAACGAATGACACGGGGGCTGGGTTGGAGTTTCCAAGATTTGCTGTTCGCCGCACCGGGATTGGTCGAAAGAACTTTTGCCAGCCATCGCTATTGGCTGAAGACCGCAATTCACCGTCAACGACGCTCGTATTTCTTCGCCTTCTCGCCAGTGTCGACTCACGCGCGTCACCTCCAACCCCAGGATTCCGTTGAGCGGTGGAAGTGGAGTTTGTTTTGGCCCAGATCTCGAAGCTTCAAACACAGTCTAGTCAAGTGCTAGGAGACTGTAGTGAGTCTGGCTGAGTCGTAGACCATATCTTAGTTGTCTCTTAGATTCTCCATCGCAGACTCCGCTCCTGACGCCCTCGCGATCTTTACTGGCAGCAATCTTCTTGTTTAATTGCGACCGGTCTGACTCGTCGCATTCCTAAATCAAACCAGAACAATGAGTAGTCCTGTTTTTCATTCGCGTACCATGGCGTGGATCGCCATTGGTGTTGCTCTTAGCTCCCTATTCGCGACAGTAATTGCAGAGCCGCGTGAGGTAAGGACTTCGTGATTTTTCTTACGAAGAATTGAATTAGCAGCCGTCTAGCAGCACATTCACTTCACTCCAAATTAGGTTGCGTTTCTTTGTCAGCAAAAGCTAACGAAATTCGTTCAAAATGGCATTCCTTCATCCGCCATTTGGTTAAACTTCAAATTTTCACCACTTTCTCCGATTCTCCCACCAGGTGACGATCGGGTCCGCCATAAAGCTCGTACACGACCGCCTGAAGCACCGTTTGCACTCGCACGAGGTCAGCTATGGCTCGGGAAGCGGTCAGCAGTCTGTGACCGGCTTCCAAGGCGGAGACGACGGCAACAGCTACTGGATCGTGCGCTGCATTAACAAGGTTGTGTGCGAGCCCGGTCAGACCCTGGGAGATGGTGCGGTGTTCCGTCTGCAGCACATGAGGACGAGAAGATGGCTTCACTCCCACCTGCATGCTTCCCCTCTCTCAAACAACTTCGAGGTACGATCTCTCAAACCTCCCCTTCGTTACATTTGCAGCCAAGAGTGTGCCTATATTCTTTCTACCCTCTATTTCTTCCTTTCACGAAGTCGAAACTAGATTGTTGCGGTAAAGGTACAGTACTTCGCTTTCTGTACACATTACCGTCAAACTTGACATGTCCAATTATCTTGCAGGTCAGTGCGTATGGAGATGACAACCAGTCTGACACTGGCGATCACTGGAGGTGAGATGGTCTTGTCCGAGTGCCCCTGTCAAGTGGTTTGTGGATTGTTGCGTGGAATGCATATGTTCCCATCAGTCACCTAGGGTGCGAACATAGCTGTCTCGTCACTTTGCGAGTCATGTGTTTTAGGTAGGTCGTATTTTCCTGATGAGGTTCTTCGTTAGCGGAACTGTGCTATTCCTTGCTGGTGGGATAGAGTATGCTCCATAAGCCACCAATCACTAGGATGCAGCACAGTCGGTTCTGCATGGCTTATGACAAGAATATTTTGTGACGTATTTTCTTTTTTCTTTGCATCCAGGCTGGAGATTGAGGGACGTGGCTCTGTGTGGATGCGCGACCAGAAGGTTCGCTTGCAGCATGTGGACACAGGGGGGTTTCTGCACTCGCACAACAAGCAGTACGGTCGGCCCATTGCTGGACAGTATGAGGTGAGTGAGACTCATGATACTGCAATGGTTTGGCTGTGCATCTCTCCTCTCGCCTCCCTTCTCCCGTCCCCCTCTTCCTCTTTATGTGCCGTTTCAACCTCTATGCTCTTTAACCCTCTCCTGTGTATGCCTTTTGCCCCCAACAAATGTAACCAGATTTGTGGAATTCAGCGCAAGTCACCTGAAAACATTTGGAAGGCCACAGAAGGAGTGTACTTTCCTGCAACTTCCGAAGTCCAGACTGACTAAATTACTGCTGCGGATCCAGCTTAGAAGAAATTTATGGATTGAAATTGTCATTCAAGGTCTGTTTTTCTGCCGTGACTTTTTGGAACTTGGAGGCTCCTATAGCTGAGCACTTGCATAAGTTCTTAGAATGCAATTGGAGGCAAGATTGCTGGAAAGAATCATGGATGTCTGGTGTAGAGAATCTCACTGGTGTGTTTAAGCGTGAGTAGCTTTGTAGTCAGGTCTTCCGTTAGACTTCGTATGAGGAAGGGACTCGGCGGCACACCTTTTTGTTTCGTGGGTGGCGTTATTTCATGTTCATGAATTTGTCCCACGTCACTCTGAAATGTGTACTGAATCACACATATCCCTCCACGCTCCTCCGATGCAAGCAATCTTTCAGTGTTCGATAGCTCCAAATCGACATACAACTAGTACAGTCACTTTTAAACTCGAGTTTCCCCATCAGAAAGCCGCGCATTAGATTGTTGTGGGTGTTTCGAAAAATCCCTTACCATTATGGCACGACCCTCGAGAATTGGAGGGAGGAAGCCGACATGGGCTGTGATCCCAAATCCATGGCAGATTCCGTTTTCCAAGACAGCACAATCAGCAGCAGCATTCGCCTCGTTGCTTGATCCACCAGCAGAATCTCCCACTCGACTTTCGACTTATCTCCAGCATTTTACAGTAGTCGATCAATCGTTCGTGGCCCGTTTGTGTTGTTCGGGTTGCTCTCAATACGTCTAGTTTACCGCCGCTGCCAGTATGTCGCAATAACCAAGAACCTTATCGCTTCCACCATTTGGCGAGACCCGCCGCATGGGACACGTGGATGCATTTTTGGCGGGAATGCCACAGGACCTCCCAGACCCCCTCAGCGCCGCTGACGTGGACGCCGACAGACATTGCGGCCCACGCTGGCGGGACGATGACGCGGATACTGCTGCAGCCTTCGAAAACAGAAGCGATGATGACGTGGCAGTTGCGGATTTGCCGCCGCGACGAGACACGGCATCCGCGGAGCCCGCACTGCCGCGTTGCGACATCATGCGGCTGCCGCCTGCGCTGCTCGCCCGCGTTATGCGGCGAGTCGACTTCCGCGATCGCATCGCGGCAAGCATGACCTGCTCCACGTGGCGCCTCCTCGCATCTGCTGTTCCCCCAGAAGATTCGTTCTTAGAACCAGAACCGGAGATTAACTACGTCCCAGGAGGAATTTCCGGCGGTCCTTTCGGCGGTTTGAGCCGCAGAAACAGCATAGCAGCAGGGGGGCGCTTGTTTAGAACCAGTAGCGTTGCCTCCGCCGCCGCCGCCGGATCTGGCGGCGGGTTAGCTCGAACAAGCAGCGTCGCCGCAGTAGCAGCGCGAGGCATTCCAGCCTTCGTTAGAAGCACGAGCTTCTCTAGTAGATCTGATTCGGCTAGTATCAGCGATTCGTCAGGCATTATGAGCGGGGGCGCCGCCGCCGGCACGAACGCCGTTCCGTCCTTGCCCGAATCTTGGAAGGATCTGCCTCCGGACGAGCAAGAAATGGCGGCGTCCGCAGCCGCCGCCACAGATGACGGCGATATCTCCTGGTGGCGATCCGTAGACGGGCAATCGTGGACCAATCAGCGAGTAGTTGTCGTCACGCTACCGGCCGGGGCAGCTTCCGCGAAGGAGAGTCCTGCGGCGCCGCTTCCGCCGGCTTTTGCGGCGGGGTTGGCGCCGCGGCTAGCGGCGAGCGAAGCACGACTAAGCGGTCTTCACGCGAGCAGGAGCCTTGACGATTTGGATCCCCGCGCCGCCGCCGTAAAGTCAGCCGTTGCTTCAGCGTTCGCTCCTTCCGCCCATTCCGCGCACGCTTCCGCATCCCCCGCCTTCTCCGCGTTCCCCCATTCCCGCTCGCCTTCCGCCTCCCCCGTTGCCTTCCGCCGCCAGCCTGGGGATGTGTTCTTGCGCAAGGCGGCGGAGCTCGCGGGTCCCGCGGCTCGCCACGTGGCCGCCTCCGCGTGCTCGTTCGTGGGCGTCGCGAGCATCGCCGTATCTTGCGGAGCCGCGCTTCGATCCCTGCATCTGTCCCGCTTTATCGGCGACGTTAACGCCGCGCTCCTTGCGATCGCCGGCAAGTGCCGCCGTCTGCAGGAGCTCCACGTGGCGGTCTGCCCGCAACTCACGGCGATCCACGCGCAGGCGCAGCAGGGGGAGGGGGAGGCCAGCGAGGGCGGCGCAGCAGGCGATCGCAGCAGCATCGGCGGCGGCAGCGGATCAGCTTATATCGGGGGCAGCGGATCTGGGCCTAGACGAACCCCTCGCGCTGGGATGGGGGGGATTGGGGGGAGCAGGGGAACTGGCGCGGGGGGAAGCGGCGGGCATGGCGGAAGCGGGGAAAGCGGAAGCGGCGGAAACGGGGGACCTGGTGGCGGAAGCGGGGGAGGTCCGGGGGGCGGAGCTGCAGCAGTGCGGAGCGGATCGCTCTCCGCGCTAGTGAACGGGTGCAGGCAGCTGACGTGTCTGTCTCTGACTGGCTGCAGGGTGGGGCACGCGCAGGCGGAGGTGCTTATAAGGGGGATGAAGCAGCGGCTGTTGCGGCTCGAGGTGGCGATGGGCGGAGGATGGCGGGACGGGGGGAGCACTGTAGCCATGTCCGCGCTCTTCTCGTCCGTTGCTGGTAAGTGAAGTTCTTTTGACTCGACTCAGAAGACCTTTGAGTTTAATATTGAGTTGACTTTTGAGTTGACTCAGGAATCGCCTCAAAAGGGGGAGCACTGTAGCCATGTCCGCGCTCTTCTCCTCAGTTGCTGGTAAGGGGAGGGGGAAGTTGGGGGAAGGCGGGGGATGCAGGGAGGGGCGAGGTGAGGTGAGGAGAGGGGGAAGGTGAGGGGGGGAGTAGGGAGGTGGATGTTAGGGCAGTTCAAGAGTGTTAAGTGGGTGGATGGGCGGCATGAGGGGTTGGGAGGGGCGGGGAGCTTGTAGGATTGGCTTAAGGAAGGTATTGCAAGATATTCTACAGACTTCGCATCAATATGAGGAGAAGTGAAGTGCTGGGCGAAGGCAGCAGGCAGAAAAAGGTGAGGATTGGGAATAGGAGGCTGTTCTTTTTTGTGTTGTTTTCTTTCTTCTTTTCTTTTTTCACTCTCCTCCACTCTCCCCCCCCCCTCGTCTCACCCTTCCTTACTCTTTCCTGCCTGCCTGCCACCCTTCTCCCTCGCTCCTCTTTGCCCATTCAGCCTGCTGTCCCAACATCGAGAGGCTGCTTCAGCCATATGATTAGGCGAGCAGCAGTCTAAAAAAATTCTTTAGCAGAGGATTAACAGTACGATCTGCTGTCCCAATATCGAGAGGCTGCTAGTGCGCACCACGCTCAAGGTGTCTGTCTGACGCTGCTTGCACCGCCCTCCTCCCTTTCCTTCCCCCTCACCCCCTCCCGCCCGTCCTCTTCCCCCCATTCTCCCCTCCCATTCCCGCCCTCCACAGCCTGCTGTCCCAGCATCGAGAGGCTGCTAGTGCGCACCACGCTCAAGGTGTCCGACGGTGCTCTCGCCTCTCTGCTCGCCTCTTGTCCGCGACTGACGCACCTCCACTTCGCAGGGGAGCGACTCACGCCCAAAGGTCAGTCCGTGACACACTAGTCAGTCACTCCCTCCCCTCCCCTCTCCTCCCCTCCCCTCCCCTCCCCTCCCCTCTCCTCCCCTCCCCTCTCCCGCCGCTCCCCTCCCCTAGCATTCTACTCCCAATTTGATGCGTCTTGCAAGCACAAGATTCATCTTCTCAGCTTCTCACACACTCACGCTGATAAATTCTTCTCCTTCCTTCCCCACCCCCTCATCCCATCCCATCCCATCCCATCCCATCCCATCCCATCCCATCCCATCCCATCCCATCCCATCCCATCCCATCCCCGTCCCATCCCATCCCATCGCATCCCCCATCCCATCCCATCCCATCCCATCCCATCCCATCCCATCCCATCCCATCCCATCCCATCCCATCCCACCCCAACCCACCGCATCCCACCTCTCCAGGCTACTCCGTCTGGTCGCGCCTGCTCTCCCTCTCCATCCCCTCTGCTTACTTCTCTGATGGAGCCATTGACGCTCTCCGTGCCCTTGCACCCGCCTCCTCCCCACCCTCCTCCTCCCAACCCTCCTCTCCATCCCATCCTCCCTCCTCTCCCTCCCTTCCACCCTCCTCTCCCTCCCTTCCACCCTCCTCTCCTTCCAATCCACCCTCCTCTCCTCCCCCTCCCCCTTCTCCCTCCCAACACCCCCCTCCTCCTCTCCTCCCCTCTCCGCTCTGGTCGCTCCACTCTCTCACAATGGACAACTGCCGCCGCCCCGAGGTCATACCCGTTATAGCGCGCCTCGCGCCCGGGTTGAGGCACGTGCGGATGAAGCATGTGGCGGGACTGACGGACGATCTACTGGCTGATGTGGGCCGGTGCTGCCCTGGATTGGCGTCTCTGGACGTCTCCTTCTGTTCGGCTATCACATCCTGGTACTGCTAAAGCGTTCCTTCATGTTTGCAGCTATTTCATTATGGCTGACGGACGATCTACTGACTGATGTGGCCCGGTCATGCCCTGGATTGGCTTCTCTAGATGTCTCCTTCTGTCCGGCTGTCACATCGCGGTACTGCTGCTGCTCTCGGTGCTCCGATTCTTCCTTCCGCTTTGCGTTCTTTTCTTTTGTCCATCAGGTCGTACTTTTGTTCTGTCGTTCTTTCTTTCTTTCTTTCTTTCCTTTTTCTTTTTTTTTTTTTGGAAACACATCTCCGTTCGTTCTTTATTTCCTCACCACACAGCACACCTCAGGAGGGCATTGTTGTGTTGTGACCATCCAACGTGTTATCATTAACGTCAGCTCAACAACATTGTTGTTGTGTTATCGTCCTGTTCCCACCCTCTCCAAACCTCTAAATCTCATTCAACACTCCCTCCCTCTCCGCTCCTCCCTCCTCCCTCCTCCCTCCTCCCTCCTCCCTCTCCTCCCTTTCCTACCTCCCTTCCATCACCTCACAGTGGCATCTCATCTCTCATCCGAGCATGCACGCAACTCGAGTCCCTGACCTGCCAAGTAACTGGAGCTTCACCTTTATCGTCTTCCACCCTCTCTGCCTGCTCTCCCGTTGTGCCTATGGACATTCAAGCCCTTGCCACTCTTGTTGCCTGCTGCCCGAGACTCACATGTAAGATGCTGCTGCTGCTGCTGCTGCTTCTGTACTCCACCCTCGCAATTTTGCCCAGTTTTTTCTGTGTGGATCTGTTGCTTCTGTTTTCCCTTGTCAGCTGTATCCTCTTTGCGCCCGATTTCTCTTCACATCTTACCAGTTCGGTTTGCATTGAAAACATGTTTGCTTCGTGTTGTACAACCTCCTATTCTCCCTGGTTCTTCCTCCTTCCTCCTACCCTTCACTCTAACACTTTCCTATTTTCTCCCTTCCCCTTATCTGCCCTTCCCCTACTCTCCTCTCCTCCCCCTCGCTGCCCCCCTCCTCTTCCCACCCCTCAGCTCTCTCCTGTGACCTACCCAGGGTACCCCTATCCACTCCTCTCCTCCCTCTCCTCTCCTCCCTCTCCTCGCTCTCTCACCTCTCCCCACCCCACAAACCCCATCAACCCACGCCATCTCTCCCCCAACCCACCACCTCCACACTCCCCGCCTTCCCTCTCTACACCTCCCTCCCCTCCTTCCTCCTCCTCACCTCCCTAGGCCCAACCCTCCGCTCCCTCTCTCTCTTCGGCCACCAGTCCTGTGATTTCCCCGACATCAATGCCAGCCTGGCAGTCTTATCCTCCTCCGCCTGCTCCCGATTGGAACACCTGGCAATCCGCCACGTGGACAGTGTCATGGATTGGGCAGTCGAGGCGATGTGCCAGGCTGGCAGTGCAGTTGCTGTGAACCTGAAAAAACTATCTTTGGATGGAATTAACTTGACGGATAGAGCGATGGGATTGGCTGCTGCGGCAATGCAGCGGCTACAGGAACTGGAGCTGCTGCCAGCGGTGAATATTGGCTTGTCTGATGGATCTGATTCGGCGGACGGCATGGATCGGGTTGATGTGGGGCACGGTAAGGGCAATAGCAGCAGTGCTATGGGAATGGGGATGGGAATGGCCATGGGGATGGGGATGGGGATGGGGATGGGTGTAGGGATGGGTATGGGGATGGGTATGGGTATGGGGATGGGTATGGGGATGGGTATGGGGATGGGGATGGGGATGGGTATGGGGATGGGAACTGGTTCTGGTATGCGCACTGCTGGTGGTATGGGCATGGAGCCTCCTTGCCAGCTGTCAGAGTGTGCAGCCACGTCTGCGTTTGAAGCAACGCTGCCTCGGAAGCAGATGGTGTTGGTGTTCCGTGATAAGTGATAATACCCTGGAGAGACCTGTCGTGGGCGTGCGTGTGTGTGACTGGTGGAGCTGAAGCGAGGCGCACGGGCAGACGGTTTGTTTTGACAAGAGATGATGGAAGCCAGTTGCAGATTCATCTGGGGGGCGCAGTAATTGGGCGGTGGTGTTTTGAGACAAGCGCGTGTCACAATCTGGGCCTGTGGCAGGTGTTTCGGCTGGTGCGGTGGGGACGCAGAGAAGGGATGCAGCAGTGGTGCTGTCGGGGCGTGGTGTTCCTCCGATCCAAGGCAGGTGTTAGGGGGAAACGGGCGATGCAGATGCTTAGGGTATATTAGGTGAAAGAAAGAGATAAATGTGGGACAGGAGGGGCCGGAAGAGGAGGGGGAACAGTTTACCGGCACCTGATAACTATGTCGGTGCATTGCCTAATGCTGTGCTAGCACATAATAGATTGTATCATTACCGTTCGCTGTATGCTTATGTTTGGTTATGCCATTTGTATGCTTCATTTGGCTGGCAAAAGAGCCATGCATGTTCCTGAGTTCATGTGCTTGACGTTGTTGGGAACAATAAGCCTTAAAGCGCCTCTGTCGTGTCGAAACTCAGGACACAAGCGAAGCAGTCCAAATCGAAGCATCGCGCGTCAACCCTCGGAGGTTAGGGTAACCGCCCGGAGGTTAGGGTAACCCAGTAGCAGAGACAACATCGACAGCAGCAGAAACATCATCGGCAGCAGCAGGACCAACGACACCAGTCATCGTCGACGAAGCACCACCAACACCCGCACAGCAACTGAACCCGACTCAACGAGAAGTCCACAGAAGCGCCAATGTCGTCGCCAACTTCTACTCCAACTCCGACGCGTATCAACGCTCACCCGGACATCGCGCTCCTGAAGACATCTGGCACGCACGCACAGGACATCCAAGCAACACAGTATTAAATAACACAATACGAGCAGGAGTCCTCGACAAAGATTCGCTACTACTACCCGACGGCAGAGAACTTCAACGGGCACGAGGAACTTGCCTCATCTGCCCCGAAGCCGACTTACCCCATCGACCGTTTTCTTCTCACCACAACCCGAGCGCACCTGCATACGCACCACTCGAGAAAGTATACAGCGACATCCTCTTCAATCGAGAACCAGGACAAGTCACCTACAATTACACGATAACCTTCATCGACGCCGCCACTCGATACGTCTGGCATCGAAACCTACCCAGGCGCGACATGGCACTCGCAGCGTTCGCCGCTTGGCTACCGGTAGCAGAGAGGGAGTCAGGAACACAGCTGAAAAGCTTCCAGTCAGACGGAAGAGGAGAATACACCTCTCAGCGCTTCAAGCAGTACCTGGCGGAAAGGGGAATCAAGCAACTCCTCTCCCTTCCCTACGCCCATCAGCAGCAAGGTGTTGCAGAAAGAATGAACAGGACTCTGCAGAACAGCATGCGCAAACTGCTACGTGGCATGCGGCTACCCAACCACCAGTGGCCAGCAGCAATGGACCATGCTGTCATGCTGCACAACTTGCTGTCGTCGTCCTCACTCCCGAACAACGCATCACCGCATCTGCTGTGGACAGGAAAGCAGGGCAGCACAAGAATGTTACGAGTTTTCGGATGCATGGTGCAGTACCGACCCCCAGAAGCACGAGCGGGAAGATTTTCACAACGGGCACAGTGGGGACTACACCTCGGCATCGAGAAAAATTACAACGCGTGGAAAATTTTCTATGTCCACTCAAAGGAAACAATAGCAGCACGTGATGTGATCTTCTACGAGCGACTCACCCTTCAAACGTACCTCGCCAACTTGCATGAGAATCAGGACCCCACAGGTGGTTTTCGTGGTGACCGAGCCTTCGCCTCAGCAGCGGACGAAGCAGACTGGGATGAACAGAACGTCGACAACGCATCGGAAGAAACCGGACCTCTCCCGTACTACTCCGTCGACGTGCCCACGGACGAAGACAATCCTCCCGACAGTGTCAACGCCGAAGTCTTCTATCACTTCGCCGACAACGGTTACGTAACACCTGCGACAGTCAACACAAACGAAGCAGAACGGATAGGGCCAAATTTCATACCCGATCCAGAAGCGGGAGACGAAGCAGTCTATCCCGAGGATCCAATACTCCCCCGATACTCACAGACTGGACTGCAAATCCCCGGCCTTGTCACCGCAGTCCACGGCAACGCACTTCCTAAGGAGCCTGCGACGGTTCAGCAGGCTCTGGGGGGGGAACACAGGGAGAAATGGCGCGAAGCCATGGACAGAGAGTTAAAGGCACTAGAGGAACGCAACACTTGGAAGGTCGTTCCCGCAAGCGTGGCAAGGAACAAGACCATTCTTACCGGGAAATGGGTCTTCCTCATCAAAACGAAACCAGATGGCACAATCGAGAAGTTCAAAGCACGCTGGGTCGTGCGTGGATTCGACCAAGAGCAAGGACGAGACTTCACCGAGACATTCGCCCCAGTTAGTCGACATACCTCTCTTCGAATTCTTCTCGCCGTTGCCGCCATGAAGAAGAAGAAACTGCGACAAATCGATGTCGCCAACGCATTTCTCTACGCACCCGTCGACGCCGAAATCTTCGTCGAACTCCCACACGGTACCCACGGAAACCCCAATCAGGTCTGCCAGCTACTGAAATCGCTCTACGGAATCAAACAAGCCCCGCGGCTGTGGCAACAGCACCTACACACCCGACTCACTCGCATCGGATTCCGCCAACTGCCGCACGACCAAGGAATGTATCGATTCACTAAAGACGCCGATTACATCCTACTGATCGTCTACGTCGACGACCTACTCTACATCGGCTCCACCGACGACATCACCACCTGGTTCGAAGGGGAGCTGCAAAAGGACCTCACGCTCACGGTTTCTTCTACCGTCACCCAGTACCTCGGGCTCAACATCCGCGAAGAAGAAAATGCTATCTACTTAAGCGCCGAGAAATACGCCGACACTATCGCCAAGCGCTTCTCGCTCACACCTACCGCTATCGCCACGCCATACCGCTACACGGCAGGAAGTAACAAAGGAAATTCCGCTCCACTCAAAGCTGCCGGAATACGAGACTACCAGAGGAAACTGGGCTGCCTCCTCTTCGCAGCCGTCACCTGCCGCCCGGATCTATCCTACTCCGCAAGCCAACTCGCTACCTACCTCAAGAAACCCGAAGCAGAGCACCTGGCGGAGCTCGATCGCGCACTACACTACTTCGTGAGCACTCCAACGATCGGCCTGACTTACTACAAAAACGAAACTACGACCACGAAACTAATCGGCTACGTCGATGCCGATCATGCCGGCGATTCCGACAATAGGCGCTCTCGCACTGGCTACGTCTATCGTCTCGAGCCTATCGGACCTATCTCCTGGCAGTCGAGCAAGCAGGAACTAATCACTCTCTCTTCAGCTGAAGCAGAATATATCGCCCTCTGCTCAGCCACCAAGGAAGGACTCTACCTTCGCGAGCTGCTGGAAGAAGCAAAGTTAGCCGAGTTACCCAACTTCACCTTATTCTGCGACAACCAATCTGCAATTCGCATCGCCAACAAAAGCGGATTCGCGAACAGAACGAAGCATATCGCTCTGCGATACTTCTTCGTGAAAGACGAGATCGAGAAAGGGAAACTCGAATTATCCTACTGTCCCACGTCCGAGATGGCAGCCGATTACTTGACCAAGAAACTCGGAAAACAGAAGTTCGAGTACTGCATGCTGCTGACTGGACAAGGCCACGTCACCATTAGCGACACTCCAGAAGTGAAGGGGAGTGTTGGGAACAATAAGTCTTAAAGCGCCTCTGTCGTGTCGAAACTCAGGACACAAGCGAAGCAGTCCAAATCGAAGCATCGCGAGTCAACCCTCGGAGGTTAGGGTAACCGCCTGGAGGTTACGCGAAGGTCAAAAGTCAGCGACTTTTGACTTGACAAATACAGCGCGACAGCAAGGACACACAACTGACTCGACATTGAGCAGTTGCCCGAGTCGCACTGTATCGAATCGCAACAGCAAAACAGTTTAATTATATATATTCGTATTCCTTGTACTCTTATATAAAGCCTTGTATTTGCTTGTTTTAATCAATTCACTTTGCCCTCACATACTAGCGCAAGGTGGTTCAAGGACTTTTTCATTCAAACGCTTCCGCTATTACAATCCTACTCAAACTTTATCTCTACAAAGATCCTAGGGCATCTCAGCCCAACAGACGTGGGGAGGCAGCACAGGTACCATATTCAGATATACATTCAAGGTTGCCAAAAGGCATGAGAGACTTTAGTAATGGGAAGTTGGCTTACGGTAGAAGTTGCTTGAAAGGAGATGATGCGGCATACACGCACGCGGTAGGTGCACTCGGTAGCATTTTCCAGAAAGTCCTGTAGTTGCCAATATCTACAACCATATCAAGATGCATATACATACGGTAACACACTGCTCCAAGAGCTTGGTCAGGCCTGCAAGGCTACCAGAACCAGGCCGCAAACAGCAGCAGCTCCAAAAGTCAAACTTATGGACGACCCCACCAAACTGGTAAACCTTCTTATCCAAGAATCGCCTCCGAAAGAATAATGCTAACACGAAACACCATGACAGTAAATCACACGGACAAGACTCGGCCCCATGCAATTGCGCCAGCCAATCAACTCCACCCAGACTCCTTGCACCGTTCGCCGCTCTAAGCCTTGGGACGAGCAATCAGCTTATTGGCAACGAGGCAGGCCTGCAGGTCCTTCTGCAGCTGTGTGCAGTCCGCGTTGGGAGTCTGAAGGCACTCCCAGAGAGCAGCGCAGTCGCACTCGCCGCTACCCAGCACCACGTGCTCCTTAGACGCGGTCGACGAAGCGCCGTCTGCGGAGGTGGACACGGATCTCACGGCAGACTCAGCGGGAACGGCAGCTGGGAGAGCACCTGCAAAGGTGAAAAGGTAAAGTGAAAGGGATGAGTAGTTGTTTATCTATGTAAAAGACAAGCTGGGTAAAAAACAGATCTTTAATCATCTTCTTCATAAGGAATCCGTGACCCGGCTGGAACTTGATGTAAGAAGTTCACGAAAGAAGCACAAGAAATAAATTAAATCCGCAAGAACCTACAACATTGATGCGAAAATTATTTATATGGTGCACCTGTGACTTGACGGGAGGAGGTTGTCGATCCGCTGGAGGACAAGGTGAAAGCAGACGCGGCGACGGCTGCGCCAGCTGTGAAAATAGCAGCAGTTCGCACCAGCGACGAGGAGTCCTTACGGAAGATACCGCGGAGAGTGGCCATGGCGGATGGAAAGGGGAAGCGGGAAGAAGTGAGGCGGAAGCGATGTTGCAAGTAGAAGGTGGTGGTGAGTGCGGTGGTAGAAGGAGGTGAATGAAAGGATGAACTGCTACTGAGAGGGTGTAGGGGAGGACTAAAAGTTAAGCTGGCGAGACCTATTTTTGAGAGTGGGGATGGTGGAAGAAGGAATCAGCTTGTGGTTACCTCAATAGCAGCTCGCGAAGCATTTGCGACGAACAAGAGGGTGACCGGAGGCACAACGAGAACAAAACGATTTCGTCTTTCGCGAAGATTCTGTTGCAGGCCAGCGACATCCCGAACAAGGGTGTCGAGGGAGGGGTAGGAGGGATGTGACTGGCAGTGCCTGGTGGTGCTTTTTGTGGTTTGGTGGGGAGGAACCCATGAGAACTTGGGGGTTTGCGGTCAGGTTCGGTTCCAGTCTCCCCACCAAAAGTGCTACTGTCAGGGTGGTTCGGTGAGACAGATCAAACGAAACTCGTGGTTTGTGCTGCCACCTGAATTCCCGCATCTCCCATGATGCACTCCCATGACGTGGCATGCGTGTGCCGGTTTTGCGTTCATGATGATCTGCCATTGGTGTATGAGAGATGCTGATTGGCTGTGAAGGGAAATATTCCAAGGTCCACGGGCTTCTTTGGGAAGCGAGTTCTGAAGCCAACCACATTTCCAGGTCTGCAGATTTGACTCGGAGCGACCCAGGATTTCGCGATTGCGGCACCACTGCCTGCGTTCGCTATAGTGACAACGGGCTCGTGAACTGACGTGATACGTTCAACACATTAAAGCTTGTCCAGTACACTCTATACAAAAGTGTTCGGTTATACATGGATATTCCAGATTGGAGTTTCCATTCCGAACCGACATCTGATGGTCAGGAATAGAGTCCGCGATTATGCTGCACTTCTGCTGACTTAGAGCGTATTCCAAAGCACGGACACCATCCGAAGTGGCCCCATCCGAACTTCTTGGGGCTCAGGATGGTGTCTGTGTGGGGCAGGCCCCCACTCTTGACTTTTGGGGTCGCAGGGCTGGCCGGAACGGTCGTCTGCGTCGTCTGACGCAGAGCTGGTTTGGTTTGCTTCGCGCCCAATAGAATCTGCCAGAACCCGTCGCAGTGTAGCCTCCCAAACGTCCAGTTCTGACTTCGCGGGCAATTGTGAAACTTGTGCCGCGAAATCGTTTTTCCCCCCGCTTTGAACATTCGATTTGGTTGACACTCGCGATCTGGCACTCCATCCCTTCCAACTCTATGCTTCTTGTTTCCCGTGCCTTGAAACCATACAAAACTTGCACTTGTCATAACACATTCGACACCAACTACTAGCCAGCAAAGGTCCTCTCCCACCCGACTAGCACGCGGGTCAGAATGCGTAAAGTTTCGTGACGTTAACTGGTCACGGTAACTCAGCCTGTCAGGTTCAATGTCCCAATCATACACCAATATGGCATGAAACCCCTTGTCGCATGAAGACGTGCAAGACGGTCGCATGTTATGTGGCCGTCAGCTCCAAAGTGTCTTGATGCCGAACCGCGTGGTGCAACATTGAAATTCGAATTTCCAACATTGCGGACCGCGTGGCCCAACTTTGGATGGTGTCCGTGCTTTGGAATACGCCCTTAGTCCTCCTTACCTAGTGTGCGTTTCATCCAATCCAGAAAAATAAGTTTCAGCCCGTTTGTCAACAGACTCGAGCCCTGTGAAGTGAAGCTCCTTCATCCCTCCAAGCCGCTTCGCCCTCACGAACGTTGCTCTGATTTCTATCTAGCAATCCTCCTTCCCGATCCGTCAGCCTCCGTAGTAGTTTGGTCCCCAATCAGGAAACAGATTCGATTTTTTCAAGAATCCATGCTGCTGTTCCCGTCGACCTCCGATGCAGCACAACCAAGCGAATTCTCTCGGTAACCTCGATTTCGCCTCAGTCGCAGGAATCCTCCCGGCGTCCGCATCTGCAGCGGCAGCGGCGGCGGCGGCCGCGGCGGCACCCATGGCTCGAAGCACGAATCTGCTTCTCAGCAGCATGGCGTCAACGGCGATGAAAATGAACACATACGAGTTCATCAGCCACATCAGCAGGTGTGAACTATTGTGAACCCATACGAGTTCATCAGCCACATCAGCAGGTGTGAACTCTTGTGAACGCATACGAGTTCATCAGCCACATCAGCAGGTGTGAACTCTTGTGAACGCATACGAGTTCATCAGCCACATCAGCAGGTGTGAACTCTTGTGAACGCATACGAGTTCATCAGCCACATCAGCAGGTGTGAACTCTTGTGAACGCATACGAGTTCTGGAAATTCAGCTGGTTTTGCAGCCCGGCGCTAACGCGCGAGCGAGAAGAGATTCATGGGGTCGATAGCCCTTTCATTGGCTGGGAGTCGTAGCTTGTACCTCTCATCGTGTGCCTCGTAGTCTTTCCGACGACGTTGGGAGAGCTGGAAAGGCGCGTGGAGGACCCGTGGAGTGGATTTGCGTACTGCCGTTAGAAACGCGAGTGCATTAGAGCCTCCTTACAGCAGCAATACTCGCCCGCTCGTACCTTCTGCATCTCCCTTTGCATCTGTCCTTGTGCTTGATCGCCGCTCCTGCATGCGACGAAGGGGGAATATTCACATGAGGCCTCGGAACTGTTGAAACCCAAATTAGGGGTATCAATCCGAGGAATTAAATATAGAGTATGCTCTTGTTCCCTCCCTTTCACCACTCCCCACGTGTATTCATCGTCTAACCTCTCCTCTCCTCACCTCTCCTCATCTCATCTCACCTCACCCCAGTGACGGAGCATTTTACGACGACCCGGACGCGGGCGGCAGCATTCGGCAGCTGCTGGCGAGCAAGTACGAGGCGGAGCGGGCGCAGGGCATGAAGCGTGTGCTGGCGCTGCTGGCCACGGGGCACGACGCGTCTGAGTTGTTCACAGACGTGAGTGTGTGTGGGACGACTTTTGAACCTCCCCATGCCCCAAAAGGTGTGTGGTGGGGCTGTTGGTTACGGGGCACGACGCTTCGGAGTTCTTCACAGACGTGAGTGTGTGTGTGTGTGTGAGGAGAGCGAGTGTGTGTGGGATGGGTGGACGTGTGTGAGGCGTGTGCAGACATGTGCAGGTACAGGTGGCATATCCTCGTCTGCTGGCCACTGCCGTGCTCGTGTCTCCAACTGTTGCAAACCATGGCATACCATACCAACTGTACCGTTCCATGTCATACCATACCATTCCACATACCATACCAAACCACGCCACGCCATGCCACACCACACCACACCACACCATACCACACCACACCATACCACACCACACCATATCACCTAACGCCATACACCAAACATGCAACGCCTTGTACCATTCCACGTCGTGCTGGTAGCGAAACTGATGAAAATGAATCCCCATGTTCTTCTGAGCCGATTAACATGACGGCTTATAACTCACTCACTATATGCGTGTCATGCGTGAGTGCTTGTAGTCAGCTCGGTGACTTTTGAGTCGACTCAAAAGTCACCGTGTCATGCGTGAGTGCTTGTAGTCAGCTCGGTGACTTTTGAGTCGACTCAAAAGTCACCGTGTCATGCGTGAGTGCTTGTAGTCAGCTCGGTGACTTTTGAGTCGACTCAAAAGTCACCGTGTCATGCGTGCGTGCTTGTAGTCACCTCACACAATACGCCGTGCATGTCGTGCCGTGCCCCCGTACATGTCCACCCATGTTGCTTGCACCACACCATGCACTGCACCTCATGCCAGGTGGTGAAGCTGGTGATCACCCCATCCCTCCCCATCAAGCGCATGGTCTGCTCCTTCATCGCCCACTACGCTCAACGGTACGCCCTCTCATGCTCTCACCCTTTGAGGCGCCTCAAAATCGATGTAAGAATATATGTGAGGGAATTGGCACCCTACAAGTATCTTACACCCCATCGCTCCCCATCAGACCCAGCAGTGCACGCACGCCCACGGCCACGGCCACGGCAATGGCCATGGCACGCACACCCAGCAGTGCATGGCGGCCATGGCACGCACGCCCACGGCCTTCGCGCCATTGCCGCCATGCGCCTGCATGGTGCTTCTCCTCCCCCTCCCCTGCCTGTCTCCCACTCCCCTTCCTGTTTCCACCCACTGCCACCACGGTATATCCCGTACCTCCCACACACTCCCTGCAACCGTTCTGCCCTCCTCCCCCACCCCCTTCCCCCCTTCTTTGTCCCCTTCCCACCCTCCCCCTCCTCCCCCCACCCCCCCAGCCGTCCATCCGAGGCTCTAATGGTGATAAACACCCTCCATAAAGGCCTGGGAGATCCGGACGCAGCAGTGCGCGATTCAAAACACAGTGTCACAGCACAACTCAAACCACCTTCTTGTATCCTCTTCACCCCATCTCCACCCCCCCAGCCGTCCTTCCGACCTAAGTTGGTCTCTTACGTTTTTTGAGGTCTCGTAAATGTAAATTTCGCAAAATTTAGCGTAAACGTAAACGAAAGCGTAAAATTACACGTAAGTATGAGGCGAGCAGGAAAAAAAAACTAATGTGATACTTTTTATTGGATTGTGTACGGGTACCAGATCGTACCACTAATTTGTCATGTGCCTTTCTAGAATAGCGACTTTACTACGTATGGAGCGCCTCTCAAGGCCGTGAAAGTTTAAAATTCAGCGTTGACCAGGTTAGTAAGAGAGAAACACGATAGGTTGCGAACGAGCTGCTAGGTTGACGTCGACAAGATATCAAATTACGGAACTAGGTTGGAGGGAATCTTCTTGATGCTCTGGTCGTTTTTTTCCCTCGGGCAGCTCAGAAAAGTTTTTAGGTGACCGTAAACGTAAGGCCGAATCTGGGCGACCGTTCGTAAACGTAAAAATTGTCGTAATCGTCCGAAAACGTAAGGAACCGAAAACGTAACTTCCAACTTAGCTTCCGACGCCCTAAAGGTGATAAACACCCTTTACAAGGACCTGGGGGACCCGGACGCAGCAGTGCGCGACTCAACACGACTCAAATCACCAACTTTTATCCCCTTCCCCCCAACCCCTTCCCCAGCCGTCCATCCGAGGCCCTGATGGTGATAAACACGCTCCATAAAGACCTGGGGGACCCGGATGCAGCAGTGCGCGCCCACGCTCTGCGCGCCATTGCTGCTATGCGCCTGCCTGCGGCGCTGCAGATCGCGTGTCTGGCAGTGGGGCGGGTGGCGAGGGACCCCTCTGCTCTCGTGCGCTGCACCGCTGCTCTCTGCCTGCCTGCTGTGGCCGCTGTGGGGGGCGAGGCTGTACGGGAGGAGGTTGAGGAGGTGAGAAAGAGGGGGGAGGGAAGTTTTGGGGGGGTGGGGAATGGGAGAGAGAGGGGAGGGGAAGGGGATGGGAAGGGGAAGGGAAGTTTGGGGTGTGTGGTTTGTGATTGGATGGGTCAGCCCACACCACGCGTTGCACCTGCGCGCCATTGCCGCCATGCGCCTGCCTGCGGCGCTGCAGATCGCGTGTCTGGCAGTGGGGCGGGTGGCGAGGGACCCCTCTGCTCTCGTGCGCTGCACCGCTGCTCTCTGCCTGCCTGCTGTGGCCGCCGTGGGGGGCGAGGCTGTACGGGAGGAGGTTGAAGAGGTGAGAAATGGGGGGAGGATTGGTGGTTGGGGGGGTGGGGGAAGGGTGTGATGGAGGGGGCGAGGGGAGGGGAATGGGAGGGGAAGTTTGGGGTGTGTGGTGTGATAGGATAGGAATGAGTGTGGGTCCGTGATTGCCCACCCTTCCCCGCATCTCCAGACACCACACTCGACTCTCCATTTATCCGTATGCACCTTTTGAGGCGCCTCAAAAGTTCTCCCATGTATCCCGAATGAACCTGCCCACCTGTTGAAACGGATTAAAGCGGCTCCCACCACTCCTCTATGGGAAGAAGTCCTCTACGAATCCTCTCGCCAGTTTCACCCATCTTCTTCCCTTCCCTTCCCTTCCCTTCCTCCACCTTCCATTCCGCTTTACCTCCCTTTTCCCTCCTCTGGTTCTGCCTTCCTATTGTGCTCCCTCTCTCCCCACATACCCCCCCAGCTCCCCACTGTATTACTCTCAGACTCCTCCCCCTCAGTGGTGGGTACAGAGATTCTGAGTCAACTCATTAGTTTCCCCCCCCCCCCCCCCCCCCCCCCCCTCCCCCCTCTCCCATTCCCCCCCCCCTCTTTCTGCTCTCCCTCCCCCCACTTTCTCCCCCCACCTTCTCTTCCCAGCTGCTCTCCGTATTCCTCTCAGACTCCTCCCCCTCAGTCGTGGGAGCAGCAGCAGCTTCCTTCACCTCCATCTGCCCCCACCGCCTCTCCCTGCTGCTGCCGCGCTTCCGCTTCCTCTGCCACCTGCTAGCCGACCTAGATGCCTGCGGGCAGACCACTCTGGTGGGCTTGCTGCTGCGCTGCGCTGCTTATGCGCATGGGACAGTGGGGAGGGGGAGTTTGGGAGGGGTTGGTGGGGGAGAGGGAGGGGGAGGAGGAGGGGGAGGAGGAGCGGATGGAGGAGGAGAGGGACGAGCAAGAGGAGGAGCAGCAGCAGCAGCAGCAGAAGGGGAAGGGGTGAAGGGCGTTCGTCCTGCCTCGTCCTCTTCTGCGTCCCTCACTCGCCACATCCCATCAGACGTGCAGCTGCTGCTGCGATGCTCCCAGGGGCTCCTACACAGCAGCAGCAGCAGCACGGTGGCAGCAGCGGCGACAGTGCAATGGGAGCTCAACCCCAGTGATGCCGATGTTGGAACGCTGGTTGTGCCGCCGCTGCTCTTCCTCCTTCGCTCCACACCGCACGCACAAATGGCTGTAAGTTAGCACTCGCCTGTGAGTTCTTGCCCGTGAGTGTGCACATGTGTACATGTGTGTGTGTGTCTCCCATGCTTGCTTGCATGCTTGCACTCTCCCATCCCCCATCTTTCTGGCCCATCCCGCCCCCACCCCCCTGCCCCATCCCTCCCCCCTCCCCTACCCCATCCGTTTTCCTTGCAGGTCCTAACCATCATATCCACCATGGCACATCGCCGCCCATCCATCTTCGTACCCTACATGCATCTCCTCTACCCCTCAGCGGTCGACCTGCCCCCTCTGCGGGCTCACAAGCTCGCCCTGCTGCCTCTCCTCGCCACGCCTGCCAACGCCTCTGCCCTGCTGCAAGAGCTCCAGGTATTCTCTTCAACTTAGACAATATTTGAGGCGCCTTAAACATTCTATAGAGGGGCTTTATATGTAGACTCCTCGCCACACCTGCCAACGCCTCTTCCCTGCTGCTAGAGCTCCAGGTGTGTTTCAGAGCGGCTTAATAGTCGGTTCCTTGTTGCACCTGCTAACACCTGCCAACACCTGCTAACACATGCCAACTCCTTGCAACACCTGCCAACACCTTTGCACATCTGCCAATGCCTTCCCCTCCCTTCGTCCAGCACACTCCAGCTTTTAATCCCGCTTGCTTCAGAGATTAATCCGTTTTTTCCCCTCCCAAACCTGCCCTTCCCGTTCCCGTTCGCCTTCTGCTCCCCCTTCCACTTCCGTTTCCCCTTCACTTTCCGCTCCCCCTTCCACTTCCGCTCCCCCTTCCACTTCCGCTCCCCCTTCCCCTTCCGCTTCCCCTTCCCCTTCTGTTTCCCCTTTCCTTTCCGCTTCCGCTTCACCTTCCGCTTCCCCTTCCCCAGGCCTGCCTTCGCTCTGCAGATGCCACTTCTGCCTGTGCCATCAGTGCCTAAGAGGCTCATTAATCTTTTCCCCTCTTAGGCAATGATACTCAAACTCAACCGTGGCCTTCCCCTTCCGCTTCCCCTTCCCCAGGCCTGCCTTCGTTCAGCAGACGCTACGTCTGCCTGTGCCATCATTGCAGCAGTCACACGGGTGGCTGAGAGCGTACCAGATGTCGCAGCGTCAGTGGTGGAGGGGCTGGTGCAGCTGGCAATACAGCGAGGCTCCTGTGGTGGTATCAGCAGCAGCGGTGCTGCTGGTGCTGCTGGTGGTGGTGCTGCTCGTGAGAGTGCAGAGGCAGGGACAACAGGAGAACACGCAGGGGAGGAACAGGAGGAGGAGTGTAAGGAAGGCCGGCAGCAGGAGGGGAATGGACAGGAGAATGGGCGGGAGGAAGGGGAGGAGGAAGGGCAGGGGAATGAGGAGAAGTGTGAGGAAGGGGAGGAGGGAGAAGAGGAGGAGGGGGAGGAGGAGCTTAGGATGGAGTTGAGGGCGATGCAGAGTGGTGTGGTTCTGGAGGCTTTACATGGAGCGAAACGGCTAATTGAAGGATGTACTGCTGCACACGGCAAGGTGGTGTGGGGGATAGCGGATGGGAGAAATGGGCAGGTAAGAGAGAGATGCAGAGTGGTGTGGTACTGGAGACTCTAAATGGAGCCAAACGGCTGATTGAAGGATGCCCCGCTGCACACAGCAAGGTGGTGTGGGGGAGAGGGTGGTGGGCGGGAGGGGTGCGAGAGAGAGGGTGGGAGTGAAAGGGAGGGTGGGGGGAGAGAGGGATGGGGAGAGAGTGATGAGAGAGGGGGATGGGCGAGAGGGAGAGAGTTAGTGGTCTTCCTCGTACAGTTAGTGGTCTTCCTCGTACAGTTGGTGGTCAAAGCACATCACCACGTATCATCAGTAATGTGTACGGTGTTTGAGACGTCTCAAAAGTCATCACCACGTATCACCAGTAATGTGTACGGTGCTGAAACGGATTTAGTTTGTGAGTTGACTACAAATTGACAGAGGTGAAACAGATTCAATCACCACGAACAGTGCTTGCCACCCATCCTCCTATCCATCCTTATACCCACCCTCATCCTCGCCTTTCCCGTTTACCTTCCCTCCTTTCCTCCCCTCTCTCCTTCGCCCCTCCTTCGCCCAACTCTCCCTTCTCCTATCCCTTCCATCCGTCCACACCCATCCTCATGTTTTCCTCCTCCCATTCCTCTCCCCTTTCCCCTATCCCAGGTGCTACTCCGGCTGCTCCTATCCCTCCCATCCATCCACCCCCCTGAAGCCAGGGCCCTCATACTCTCTCTCCTCGCCCACGCCGCCCGCTCCTTACCCCCCCTCCTCCTCGCCTGCCCCACTGCACTCTCCCTGCTCCTCCCCTCCCTCCCCTCCCAACCGCCCTCGGTCAAGCTGCAACTGCTCAATGCTGCGGCTAAGGTGAGTGAATCAACTCAAGTCAATGCGAGAAGGTCGATTGTACTTGCTAAGGTTCTCCAGGTGCCAACCGCCCTCGGTCAAGCTCCAACTGCTCAATGCTGCCGCTAAGGTCAGTAAGTCAACTCTAGTCAACGCTATTCAACTCTAGTCAACGCTGCATCTCATTGGAATGTAGGATGACGACATGGGTGTTGAAACTCGTCCCTGCTTCTCACCCCCATGTCATCACACATCACCATGTGTTCTGCCAGCTTGAGAGAAGTCTTCGGATTTGTACAAATCATGTGTTCTGCTTGATGCTTTAACCCTGGATCACACCCCTGTGCCCATGTTCTTTCTACCCCTGCATCTCTCCCACCAGGTGTACCTTTTGATTGCAGCTCCACATGTCAACAACCCGCCCATCTCCTTCACAGCACTAGAATCCTCTGACCTGCGGGCAGCGCACACCACCATATCCCACGTGCTATCCTCTGCTCTCTCCATCTGCGCATCAGACCCCTCTTCCGATGTGCAAGACCGCTGCCGCTTCCTCTCCACCCTCCTCTCCCCGCTCCTCTCCCCCGCTCCTCCTGCAAAAACCAAAGCTCCTGCTGCTGCTGATGCTGCTGCTTCTACTCCTGCCTCTGCTGCTGCTCTGACAGATCCCCCTGCTAGTACTTTTGAAGAGGAGGCAAGACAAGTGTCACACAGTCAAGCAGTGACCAGCCAAGCAGGCACACAGGGGGGTCATTTTCTTGTGCTGGCACTGGCGTGCAAGCTAGTCCTGGGGCAGGAACTGATGGGGGGTTCAAAAGGTCGTGAACCCGCTACTACTATGAGCCTTACTGCTCCTTCTGACTCTATATCCCCAGCCACCACTGCTGCCGCTGCTGCTGCTGACTCTGCTAGTGCTGGTGGTGCCGACTCTGCTGCTGCCACTCTTGCCTCTGGTGCTATTTCTGGTTCTGGTGCTGGTTCGAGACTCGCTTTGAGGCCCAGCCAAGAATCTGCCGTTCCAGACAGATCTAGATTCCTCCTCTCTTCCATGTCGCATTTTGTGAACCACATTGCACCTGGCTACGAACCGCTTCCCGAGCGTGGCTCCTTTGAGTCATCTCCTGGCCTAGATGGGCCTTCTGCTGCTGGTGGCGGTGCTGCTGGTGACGCTGCTGGTAACGCTGCTGCTGGTGGTGCTGGTACTGGTGGTGGTGGTGGTGCTGGTGCTGGTGGTGGTGGCAGGGAAGTGAGAGACGGTGGCGATCTGGCATCGTGGCTAGGCGAGGATGTGGATGGGGGGAGAGTGGCAGATGGTGGGGGTGATGGTCGTAGTGCAGTAGAGGCGGGCTACCAGGTGAATGATCAACACACAGGTGCTGAGGGATCGAGAGGTGGTGGCGCTGTTGCTGGAGAGGGAGAGGGAGTAGTGGGTGGGGGGAGTGGAGTGTATGCAGTTGGGCGGGAGGTAGGGAGCGTGAATGACAGAACAGGCGGAGCCTCTGCTGCTGCTGCTGCTGCTGCTGGTACCCGGCAGGAGATAGAGGGTTTTGAGGCGGCTTACCAACAATTCCAGAGCAAGCGGAATGTGGAGGCTTGGTTGGAGGACTAGGAGAAGGTGAACAGTACACTACAGTACAGGAGTAGCACAAGATATATACAGTGCAGGACGTAACAGATAATACGGTGGTTGTGTAGGTGACTCTAGGCAACTTCAGGATTGCACTGCTTGCAAAATTTTGGTACACATGGTCTATCCTACATGTGATGGGAAGTTGTACTGTATGTGATGACAGGAAGTAGCAGACTTGTTGCTTGCACTTCATTCTCATTATGGGACGGGTGGTAACATTTCTTTGTGCCAAGGTAAGACAGAAGAACCACCTGTATTGGACACCAAGTGTCACAGACGAAGAACTTTATCCCATCAAATTGCAGTAATTGTTAATTACTTGCAGTAGTCAGCTGCTTGCATCCATTGGCCATGCAATGCTTTGCCGGAAACTTAATCCTTGAATGCTCCAAATAACATTAGTACAAAACACTTGTAACAAATTTCCAACCCCTTGCAGATGAAGAAGCTCTTCTACTTCAGGGCTAGCCAGGTAGCAGACAGACAGCAGTTCCCTCACTCGACACACACCCTGCCCTTCCCACCTGCCGTCGCCCATCTCCCCTATCCTCCCTCTCAGTGTCACTTTCACTCCTCATCCTCCTCCAGCCCTGGCACGTATGCCAGCTTCACGTCAAAGATCACAGGTGAGGCAGGTAGCACACGCGGGCGCCCAGGCGCCGATGCAAGACCCTTGGGGAAGGCCAGCTGCGGGGAGGGGAGTGGGGGAGAGGGGAGAGGGGAAGAGGGGGAGAGGGGGGAGCAACATGAGCAAGGGGGACGAGGGTGGATTCGAGGCATATTACTCTACTGGACCAGACCAGACACACTAGGGATTGAGGAAGACCGGCTTGGGAGGCGAGGCGGCGGGGGGGAGGAATGGCCAAGTGGCAGGACTGGGGGAAAGGAACTGGGGTGGGGTCTGGGTGGTGGGGGGAAGGGGAACTGATACAATTGGCCTTATTAAGAAGTCACTTTGACACCTCCCACATGTACCAGTGCCGTTCTTCCCCTGAACGCCCCCATACCCCTATCGAGATGTTAACCTTACGTTTCTAACCATAAAACTGACTGCTCCAGAGATGTCAAGGTTCCTCTAGAAATCAACAGTACCTTACCAGAAAAGTAACCGTACCGCTGTAGAGATGTAACCGCACCTTTCACCAATGAAACTGTATCCCATCATAGGTGTACCCATACCTCTCCAGGGATATAAAGCCGTCGCAGCCCCCCAACCTTCATGGTGAGAATGCCCTCGTCCAACCCTGCCACGACCTGAAGACGAGGCATAGGGCACAATGGAGAGAAGGTAGGGGGAGAGGGTGGCACAAAGAGGGGGTGAGGAGGGTGAATTCAGCTTTTGTGCTGGATTATCTACGATTATTTTCCTCGTGCCACAAGACTGAAATTGCTGGTGCTTCCCGGTATGAGGAGAGAAAGTGAGGTGGAAGAGCGGAAGACTGAAAGTGCTGGCACACACGGACGCACATGCAGACGCACAGATGCACACACTCACTCACTCACGCACACACAGGCGCACACACTTTCGCGGGCACTCTCCCCCCACACACGCACCTGGCCTGCGCCAACGCGGAAGATGTAGGGCATTTTCTTCTCCAGAGAGCTGTGGGGGGCAGGCAGGAGGGGGTAGGATATGGGCAGCCGGGGGGACATGGGAACTTTGAGATGTCTCAGAAACCAACGCGGAAGATGTAGGGCATTTTCTTCTCCAGAGAGCTGTGGGGGGCAGGCAGGAGGGGATAGGGGCAGCAAGGGGTTGGCAGGGAAGGAGGCGGAGAGGGACGATTATTGAGGCGTCGACTAGTCACGCGACGCAGACGGAGAGGGAGCAGCAGGAGGAGGATCAGCAAGAGGAGACGTAGAAGGGGCAAAAGGTGAGACAAAGGGGTGACATGGCCGAATGCATCTGGCGAAGTGAAGGGAGGAGGAGGAACGCAATAGAGTAGGGGGAGATTCGGGCAGAGAAACCAGTAGAAGAGATCAATGGAGAGAGCGTGCAATGGCGGGCAGGTGGTGGGGTTGACAGAGGATGCGCAATGGGTACAATGATGGAAGGAATCGAAGAGGTGACTTTTGAGTCAGCGTGCAATGGCGGGCAGGTGGTGGGGTTGACAGAGGATGCGCAATGCGTACAATGATGGAAGGAATCGAAGAGTGGATAGAAGGCAGTGTAGGGAAGGGAAAGAAGGCAGGCGAGCGAGCAACGAGAGACATCAAGCTGGCAATGGAGAGTCAATGGAGAGTCAGTGGAAAGTGACCTGGCGAAGATCTTCCCGGGAGGAACCATGGCGACGTAGTCAGCTGCAACCTGGAATCCCACGGGCGGGGACGGCCTTTGAGCCAGAAGAGGAAACGCGGGCAGGGAAGTGTGACACACGCTCACCTGGCGAAGATCTTCCCGGAGGGCACCATGGCGACGTAGTCAGCTGCAACCTGGAATCCCACGGGCGGGGACGGCCCTCGCCCCACGATGATGTCCCGGTACTGCAGCCCCGAGGGGGTCGTCTGCAGGGGGATCTGCGGGGACGAGTGGGGAATGGGGGGAACGGGAAATGGGGAATGGGGAAAGTTGGGAGAGAGAGAGGGATCGCCCCAAGATGATGTCCCGGTACTGGAGCCCCGAGGGGGTCGTCGGCAGGGGGATCTGCGGGGACGAATGGGGACGGGAGAGAGAGGGAGAGAGAAGGGGAGAGCAAGGGAGAGCGAAGGAGAGGAAAGGGGTAGTTGGGTGGGTCTGATTGATTACGTTGCGTTCTGTTCTGCGTCACCTGCCCGCCTCACATTCCACAAAGGCACAGGGCCGCAGGAGCTGTTGCTAGCATCACGCTTCCCACCCACGCTCGCACGCATCCCCGCCACTCCACACCCTCCATCCCCCCGTTCCCCCCCACTCGCCTCGTCTTCTCACCTCTTCCAGCGTAGCCTCGTGCACTGCTTCAGCCGCTCGGCTCCTCCTCGCTCCCCGTCCGAAATGCCATCCCATTCAGGTCGACGCAAGGTGGACTAGAAAACCCAGCCACCCCTTGCTCGCCTCGTCTACTCACATCTTCCAGCGTCGCTTCGCACTCCGCCGTACACAGCTTAAGCTCTTCCTCGCTCTCTGTCGGAAGGACCGTGCGCGGCGCGGCCGAAGCGTCCGAGGAGAGGGACAGAGAAAGGCCCAGCAGCCCGCCCGCCGCGATAAGCGAGCGGCGCGAGACGTCGCCGTCAGATGCGGAGGTGCTGGTCTTTGCGGCTTCTGCGCAAGAGGGGGAGGGGAGGGAGAGAAGCGAACGAGCAAGGGGATGAGGAATGGTGACGGAATGGGGGGAAAACGGAGCTCGTTGGTAGGGAGTTGAAGAGGTGAACTGCGAATGGAGACGACGCGGAAGAGAAGGGTAATGGCACCTCTTTGCTGGTAAAGAACTAGGTGAATGCGAAAAAAAAAAAACTGAGACCAGGTGAGTTATGGGTATTTCTGGCTCAGAAACAAAGAAGACCCGACCTTTCTGTCTTTCCCCACTTCCCTATCGCTCCCATTCTACTCTTTCCACTCCCTCCTCACTAGCTCCTTCGATTAATCTCACCATCCCGTGGTTGTCATGATATCTGCCGCTTCTCACCTGCTCGGCACGGCCGGACTCGGCGCTGGGAGACGCTGACAGCAGCGTGACGTGTCACGTGCGTGCTTTCTGGATCCAAGCATGGCACGTGGAAGCAAAGAACGACATAGAGCGTGAGAGAGAGAACGGGGAGAAGAAGGAACAAACAGGGTAAGGACTAGGGGCGGGTAGTGTTTTGACGAGATTCGCCACGCGCAACGCAAGATGATTCTTGACGAGTTTGCGAAGTGACGAGCGCAGTGTTATGGCCGTGACATTGCAGCAATGGATATTGGCCAGTAAAAATATCCACTGAAAAGGAGAGGTCAAGAGCGTGTATTCAATGAAACTCCATACCGTAACAAACGTTAGCAGCAGATTAACCAGCAATGCGTCTGATCGTCTGGCTCCGCATCTCACCTAGAGACGACGGAATGGTCTGCGCGCCGAGCAGGCGCTGCGAGGACGACACGACTTGAGCCGAGGCGCAGGCCATGGCGAAGAAGCTCGCGAAAGAGTGTGGTTACTGGCTTCCGCACGAGGCAGAGGCTGCGACAGCTAGCAGCTAGCCGAAACGCCTCTGGGAATCCAAATGTAGCGTGTACTGCGACTGGTCGGTGGGCTCGAGCAGCAGAACACGGCACGGCTGCTGCTGAAGAATTTGCTGACTGACGTAGGAATGGACAATTGCGAGCAATTGCAATGTCAGTCAGTGAATCAAAGGTATGTTGAGTTCCTTAGTTCTGTTGCACTCATTCAAATGTCCTGTTTCAGGGACGGCCCTGGAAAACACCGAGTGCGGGGAAAGGCAGCGGGGGAGGAACGTGGACGCGGAAACGCGGATGAGGGAACCATCAGATGGGATGAGCGGAGCGGAGGCGGGGATGGGGGGATGCGAGGAGCTCGGTCGGGAAGGGAAACTGCACGGGAGTGAAGCTGCTGGGGAACCCGGGAAGCTGGAAACCGAAGGGGCTGGGGAAGGGACCGCGCGGGGACATCGCGACAGCTAAAGCTTTGTAGGTGGATGAGATTTGATGATGACATGTACCCTGAGCCACGTCGACAGAAAGCACGTCAGCAGACAATTGTAGTGGAACGAGGCGGTGCTTCGTGGTTCCTTTCAAGGCCAAGGATCTTGTGGTGATTGGCGAAGGTACGTGTTCGCATCTCTTCGTGACAGGTTGGCGCCTTTCGCTCAGTGTGCACGACATGGAGTGGTAGTGTCAGCCTCGGTAGCGGAAAGCGTTCTCGGAAACACGCATCTTTTGAATTGAAGCAGCTCAAAAGCAATCAGTCACACTGTTGCGCTTACATGTGGGAAGTCCACAACAGCTCAACTCAAAAACCAGTCACCGTGTAGATTAGCACCCTAATGACCAGCTGAAGCAGGAAACTACA